CCAGCGAGAGCAGCTGTTTCAAGATGGCGGTCACCTCGACTGGCGCAGCAAACGGCCACGTGGTGTTCGCGAAGTCCAGTGTTACGTACCATTGCGTGATGTTCAGCTCGACAATTCTTTCCGGGACCCACCGCGGTCGAGTCAGATCGCTGTGAATCTGAAGGAGTGCATAGTGGAAACGTTCAACCGCTCATAATGTGCGTGAACGTTGCGACCTGCTCAACGTTGCCTCTTCCCGCAGTTCATCGCCAACGGACAAACAACTCTTAAAAAAAAAAAAAAAAAAAAAAAAAAAAAAAAGTTACCGAAGTTGATGTTGTGCGCTGGACATCAGTAGGTCATAGATTTATTAACGCGATAGCATTGATAAAAGGTGCCGTTTCCACGGGACGATTGACGGAGGCTCCGTGATCGAATTTGGCTACGTGCTGGTAGTCACCGTACTCTCCGGAATTTAAACGTAAACATTTTCGACAGAGGTCTGTCTGGTTAGGGAGAAATTGACATAATTTTTACGGACTCTAACCAAAGTTTTATTAAAAAGACATAAACCCGACGTTTCGGGACCCGCTCGGTCCCTTAGTCACGGGTGACTGAAGGTGGGGGCGCGTTAAGCCTTAGGCCTTAGCAAGGCCAACCGCCTGGGCAACCTTTCCACCGCGCCCCCACCTACAGTCACCCGTGACCAAGGTTCCGAGCGGGTCCCGAAACGTCGGGTTTATGTGTTTTTAATAAAACTTTGGTTAGAGTCCGTAAAAATTATGTTATACTCTTCAGAAAAAGCACGCTTGACCAGGTAGCTGCGGCTTGGTTCCATACAAATAAAATGATTGGAGATGTTTTCATTTCTTTCTCTTTGAGGAGCATGGTGGCGCTATAAGCACGCGGAATTCTACGATTCCAGCAAATTTAATCAAGATCATGCGAGGTGTTCACCCGGAAACGTAACGCGCAACTAAAATCGGTTCGAGCAGGTCGTTTTTAGCGCACGCTTATACTATTGCGTATTGCGTACGTAAGAGCCAGCAACGGTCGGAGGAGTTTCGGGTATCCTTATCGGAGTTACCGGAAAAAACATTTGTGTTGTGACCCCCCTAAACAGCCGTGCGCTTTATTGAGAAAAAAAAAAAAAAAAAGCGCGTCACATTTTTAAATTTTACATCTTATGGTAGCCGCATGCATGTTTGAGCCTGTAGACAATGTGATAACCGTTCTACATCGCCGCTTTTGGTATTTTTCGTAAACGCATTTCAGGAACCCATTGTTGACAAGACTACCATGACTTTTTTTCTCAAAGACGTAATTAAAAGGAGTGAATAATCCAGGGTCGTTTACTGCGGAGAAACAGAGTGGGAGACGGACGGCACAAGGTCATCGGGCGACTCTGGGGAGATTTTTTCTCAAAGAACCAAGTCCCGTTTTGTTTCGCTGATCCTCTTGTTGCTTGACCTTTCTGCTCCAAGATTATTATTTTTTTTCTCTCTAATTCTTGAGTGCTTTCTTTTGCTTCGAAAACGGATGTAACCTTCTTTTTTTTTTTTTTTTTTTACTCCGTTTTGGTACGCGTAGGTTTATTTTTCTCCATTCGTGTATCGTCACACTTTGGGTAAACTCACACTTTGCTCGGTAAGCACTAAGCCAAACGTGTCGGTTACAGTAACAGGATCCAATCTACAACAGCTGCTACTTTCTTTGGAAATCTGCGATATGTCTTCTATCGGATAGTGTGTCACGCTGTTTGTGTCCAGGTGTGGCTGCGTGAGAAGGGAATTTATGTATTGTGGTTATTTTATTGTTTGCTAAACCAGAAATTATTGAACACGTGTGCAGCTTTTGTTGGGAGGCTGTCTTTTTGTCGGGACGTATTCCAGTGAACACCGTAAAACAAGTTTCTATTCATCAACTCAAAGGCCCAATTACTTTTTTTTTTATCGTAGAAAAATGACGGTGTCTTGTTTGATATTCTTTTCCTCTTCATGCTTTAATATAATATTTGGAAAACGAGAAATCGTCCTAAAAGTTTTATGACGCTGTGCGAGAGTGGATGAACACGTTTGATTTAATCAGCATTTTTGATTAATTTACCCAAAATGCGAAAGTTTTAATGTTCATTAAAACTAGAATGAGACTTATTTCAACATATGACAGTCCCAGACAAAGAACCTTTGTGTAATCTTCTTAATGTCACATTAAAAATTAAATCCATGTCGTTGAGGTTTTGTTTCAGCATGCGGGGTGCAAAATATAGGACTCGAACTCTGGCTGGTTCTTTTACCCGAAAAGTCTTTGCGACGTAAAGCCCCAATATTTTATCTGTCCTGTTTGTACCCAACCAAGCGAGGTGATCTCACTATAATTAAATAAAAAGTCGTGTTGGAGATTTATTTTGAATCCGATGATGTGAGAATGATTTGCTGGTTTTATATATCTAGAATGGGGTTATCGATGGTCGGTGGGAATTGTTTCCACTATAGATTATTTAATTGTTTTATGAAATTGTCCGGTAAAAATCTCCCTACATTTGTCATTTTGTAAAAAAAGAAATCTTTATATAAATTTTTTTTTAATATATTTTTTGTTTTCTTAAAAAAAAATTAAATTATTCGCTTTTGGCGAAAATAAAGCGTTGACTAGTGATTTGACTTTGGCAACTGGCAGCAGAAAAATTGCTTAGAACGCTTGTTGACAATTTGCCTGAAGAAAGCGTAATGAGTTGACAGAGACACTTTTCGAAGGGATTTTTGCATTATAAAAAAAAGAGACTTTGAATAACAACCTCAAATCCACCACGGTGTTTGTAATGTTGGATCGATATTTTGTTTTAAGGAAGACGCGTTATTAATTGAATTATACTGTACAAACGCGTTTTAAGAATTAATAAAAGATGTTGATTTTGACTTTTTTTTAAATTTGTATTTATTTAACAATTTAATTATTTCTTGAGGGCTAAAGGACACTGAGTTGTGCGAATAATGGGTTGTATACATTCAAATACAACAAAACAAAGACCCTATAATAAGGATAAAAGTGGAAGGCACGTCATGAACTCAGTATATTTTACTCGTTGTCACATCAATAAAGAAACAACAAAAGTTCTGTGTATTTTTTATTCGCTACGCGATGCAGTTCTCGCAACATTTGATTCTCGAAGGAAGAAGCGATGATTTTGGTGTTTGAAAGGTGTGTTTTGAGGAAATATCATAGAGCTAATCTAAGTTGCATCTACATACATTAAATTAATTCATGATGTCGAATAAACTTGGGACCTGGGAAGAAATGAACACATGAGTCGAAGGAACAGAAAAGGACAGGACGACGTCGTCCTGTCCTTTTCTGTTCCTTCGACTTCCATGTTCGTTTCTGCCCCAGTCTCAGGTTTATTCAATATGCTTAACATTTACCAGCTCGCCTGCACCCTTACTATATTATATATATTAAATCAACACACGAAGGGTAGAATTAGTAACGTTCCACGAGAAACAATATTTTCTTTAGTTGCTTTTCAATAGAATATTTTTTTCAAAAGTCCGCGTTAACGCCAGCCCACGACTATTGATCAAGCACTCTGAGCATGTATTGGACACGAGTGTGACGTCAGTGTTCGGTGAGGGCTCGGAGCCAATCAGGCGCTTCGTGTCCAAGCAATGGCGCCCGCCAATGTTGCTTGGCTTTTGAAAAGGGCTTCGTTGTTTTCTGGGACACTCTTAGTCGGGTCAAGGGTTTTTGTCAGATGTATAGACGATGAAGCCTTTGGGATGGTGAATGGACAAAGGGTCTCTACTGCCCCGCTACTGTCTAACTAAAGAACGCAATCTTGTACAGCCACACACAGGATATAAAAACGGCAGGGAGATCATTCCGTTGTCCGCCTGCGACTCCATCTTTCTCTTCGACGGCGCTTCGGCCTCTCGCGAGCCTCCATCGTGCACGCGCAGCCAAAGCACGACGAAAGGCAACGAGCGCGTGCTGGACACCGGGCATTCGAAGGGGACCGTCCTGTGGTTTTCATCCCGTCAGTGACCATAGATGACAGTGTTGTGCTTGCATTCGGTAATTGCATAATCCCTAATAAGCGATACGATTATTTATCGCGACGTCCATCAACAAATGTGTTGCTGGGGCATGGTGCCTTCATTTTCTATAAAAGGGGCATTGAGTAGTGAGTGTGACAGTAAACGGAGCAGAAAAAAAAGAGAAGAAACCTCGACGAGGCTGAACAAGAAGGTCATTGCGACTGGTTCCAAAGCCGGACCACAACAAACACCGCTGGGTTCTACGGGAGAAACACGAACAAACGAACTTGAAAGGATTAGACCGTCAGCTTGAAGCTCAGTCTAATGGAGAGGCCGGTACAAAAAATTAAATCACTTAAAAAAAAAAAAAAAGACTCAAAAAAAGAAAAAAAACATCTTGACAAGCTTTGCTATTACGTGAAGGTCAATATCCAAATCCCTGTGAGTGTTTCAAGAGCGGTGTTAAGTTGCTCTCGTCAGCCTGTCGTAAACAACGCATGCGAAGAACCAAATCCGTTTACCCAGAAGCTGGCAGGGCGATGGCAGTTACGCTCTCGCCGGACCAATCAACCGCTCCCGTTTCATCAGCTGACCACTCTCTTTGCGGGTGGTTACGGGGGTAAGAGTGTGGTCACGTGGCAAAAGGTCGACGAACGACTGGTTAACCGAACACTCAACTTCTGCCGCCCCATCGGCTGAACGGTTTACAGTTATATTATTTCTAAATTTTTCTTTTTGTAGGAGGCTTGGGGGGGGGGGGGGGGGGGGGGGGGAGGGGGGGGGGGGCGGAGAGGGGGGATAGCTAGGTTCAAGCTACTCATTGTTGTCGAAGGTAGGTGGGGCTTTACGAAAGCAGAGTCAACTCACGGGGCAGCGACACTTTTACGAGCAGTCAAGGACGTTTACCTCCTCGTGGTGTATCTTCGGACGGAGGAAATGTTATAAAATATCGGGTCTGGACGAGAGGGTTACATTGGACGTCCGGAACAGGTTCAGAGACCCTCAGATCCATCTTCAGCGATTGCCGAATCCGTGAGTACACTCCAGCATTTCTTGTTTCCCTTTTTTTATTTTATTTTTTTCAGTTGTCTGATAATCTTGGAGAAATGTTTTTACGCTCATGTGTGATAATGAACTTGCTAGATTTCACGTTAGACGCGATAGACAAGTTTGGAAATACATACATACTCTTTCTTTGTCCGAGCGATTGATCTTTTTTCCTATTTTTTATTAAGTATTTTAAATGTATGTCATGCTTCGAAACTAGATGGGCGTAATTAAACTGAGCTGCTTTGTTTCTAAAAGTGAACCGCGGAGAGGGCTATACCACCAATCCGGAGAGCAAGCAGACGAACTTACGTTCCGCACTCAATGGAGCGTGTCACATGACATTTTAAAATCGGTAATCTTACGTCCGATCACAAGTTCGAGTGACAGTCTCGCGTCGTTCAACTGGACTGCATACCTCCTTTTTTCATGTCAAGGCGGAAACAAAATAGTTGATTTAGGGTGCTAGGGGTGGGCCTTCAACACTCATCAAGATTCATGCTCGGGATTGGGTCCAACCGCTGCTCACATCCCACAAATGCGAATGCCTCTCCATTCGTCACACTTGCGTAAACATTCAAAATAACTTGCCTCTTCGCCTCGGTCTCCTTTCAGCAACCATCATCTGAAATGGCCACCAAGCAAGTCTCATTCGCCCTCCTGTCGGTCCTTTTTCTCGCGCCAGCAGTCATCGGTGACCCGATACGTAAGTAAAATTTTATACTTTTTTTTTGTTCTACGCTCGATGAAGGTCCGTTTCGCGAGCGTTTCTTCCGTTGTGCGCGGTTCTCCGGAAAACTATCTTCTTGATTGGATGTTCGTTAAACGAAACATCGGTTAACTTCTCTCTGGCCCTTTCGTCAGTCGTGTATTGTAACAAGTTCCCTCACGTTACTTGCAATAATTTTTCTTTCGTCAACCTTGTACACCATCACTCGTAACAAGCACTGCCTCGTTACTTGCGAAATGTTTCTTTAGTAAACATTGCGCTTCTTTTTTTTTCTTTTTTTCCCGCGCAGTCCGAGAATGGAATGTATCACCATATAATTTTGTCTCGCTCTGTGTGACGCCGACTCACAGTATATACATATTTTTGTTTTACTTTTGACGCCGCCTTCTGTTTCCCTCTATGGTTTGTGTTTTATGTATCGGGTTTTCCCGTGTACTTTGCTTGATGTTTCTAGTTTATTATTATTAATTTTATTTGCTTTTCCCAAGTGTGACTGGAATAACAAGTCCCCATCTTGAACCCCTTCATTGCAGTGAGCACCCTCCTGGGACACCGCAGCGATGACTCCTGGACGAGTGCTCGTAGTGCCGACCAGGAGTCCGCACTGGCTGCCGAGCCCAGCCTTCGTACCATGCCCGGCATATCCACCCTGAGTCAGCTCACCACGCCACTCATCCTTCTGGGCATCGGTTACTACATGCTGGGCTACATGCCGACGGCCATGCCCATGTTCCTCGGCCTCCTTGGTCTCAAGGCCCGACTGCTGCCCTACCTGACGGCCATAGGTCTGCGCGAAAACTTCGACCTGGACCGCGTGGGACGGCAGCTGGAGTCGAGCGAGTTCTTGGAGAGGGGCTTCGACTATCTGGACATCAAGGACACCGACTGCCGTCGCCGGGCCGCCTGCGAGATGGGAGAGTGGCTGTCCAGGTCGCATCCCGTTGTTGCCAAAGTCGTTGACGTTTTCAGGTGAGTCCCAGTTTGGAGTTTTTTGTTGCTCTTTAGCAAAGCCCCCCATTCCAAGTCTCGAAATGGTGTTCGTCTGCCCGTCCGTATATTTTCTCCTAAATATAGCGGAAAAATTGATGTCGCGTGACCTATGTGACAATGTTGTATCCACGCTAAATTTAGCGGTAAACCTCACATTACGTGACATGTACAAGTTTCCCCGCTACATTTAGCGGTAAAATTGATGTCACGTTGCGTGACCCACACACCAATTCAGTTTCCCCGCTAAATACAACGGGGAATTTGATGTCACGTGACCTGAGCAGTCAGTTTCGTCGCTAAATTTGGCGTGGATCTTGATAAAAATATAGGGGACTTCACGTATTCTGACTATCGCTCCTTTAATCCTGCACTTCGTGCTCTTCATCTCTTCAGCTGCGCTCACACTAGTTGTTAAGCCGCATGCTGCAACTAATCGAAGATGTAGCTAAATATGATGCGACTCTAATAAGGACGAAACTGAGCCGGTCCACAACGTTGTTGCTATTCGAAGTTTACCAGGCTCTAATGATCTAAGTTGAAATGACGTAGCTGGAACGTCAATACTTCTACCATGATGTGGTGCTATTTTATCCAGCTTCTAGGGATAAAGCTTTATGGTGTCCTGTGTAGGTTTACAAATAAGACAAATGAAATGTTTTCAGAATTTTTCTAAAATATTCATTCGAATATGCCGCTAGCCGTCTTCGTTTAGTAATATTTTGAAGACGAATAGAGACTAGTGCGTTTCCGATTAAAGATGCAGCTTGCGACGCCAGGGTGCGGATTCCAGAATGAGAGATGTTTGGGAGACATTTTATTCGGTGCTTCGCTAATTTGGTTTGTTTTTTGTGCAGTGAGAACATGCTCAAGGGCAGCAAATACTCGGACAGCCTGCTGGAGGGGGCCCGCCACACCAGCTGTGACACGCAGTTCCCCAAGTGTCCGTCCTCGCCACTCCGGACATTGTCGCCTTTCAAATGAAGGTTGCGTCGAGCTGAGGCCTGCTTAGCTTTAGGCCTCTCTGTACATAGGATTATTTGGCGTCTATTCCCATCCATCCCGGAGCACGAAGAGTTTATTTTGTGCTTCCCCCACTACGCAAGTTATGCGCGTCGCGGTTCGGAGCGGGTACTTCGAACGTGATACCAAACTGTAAATGCGTTTAGCATTAATAAATAAAAGATAAGAAAACAACTATTTGTCTCACGTATTCATATTCCTAATTCTTTTTTTTTCACTGGATGAGATATCAGCACGGACACCATTCAACACATGTTCCTACTAACTTTCGATATATTCACAGTATTTAGGCATGTTCACATTTACACACATTTACCTTCATGTTTGCTTCATCTTTGGAAGTCTACATTTCATCAAACTCATGTCATTGTTTATTAAGAAGTGAGCCGTGCAATATCATCGACAGCAGCGCGGAATACTCAAGACCATAGCACAGTCAAGATTCAGAGCAGATTTTTTTTAAAATTGCATCCTAAAAGGTATTGCCCTGCAAAGAAGGCATCTGTAAGTTTTTTTTTTTTATCCCTAACATGACCGTTTGAATTGCAAATACAAAAATAATTAACAAGGCCTTTGTAGTTGTTGTGCTACCGGCCGAAGGAAAGCCTGTGTACCCGCCTGAAGAAAGCGTGGTGTGTTGGCCGAGACAGTTTATGAAAGGGATTTTTATATCGTAAAAAAGAGGCTTTGAATAACAACCTCAAATACACCACGGTGTTTGTGTAACGTTGGATCGATATTTTGTTATGAGGAAGACGCGTTATGAACTGAATTCCTTTCTCTACACAAACTCTACACAAATGTTACAAATGCTTTTTAGAAACAAATAAAAAAAGACTTTTTTTATTTCGTTTTTATTTATATTTATTTCACTTATTTAACTCGCTTACTGACATGTTGAGGGTCAAAAGTGGGCTGTATAGAAAGACCATATACAGTGTGAAGTTCACCTGACCCCCCAGAAGCTCTACGTGCTTTTGTTCTCCCTCGATGACGAAGCACGGCTGCTTCGTCATCGCGTGTTTCCTAAGCGTTCGGATGTGCGTAAAGTGGTGAGGCACGTCATGAACTCAGTTTACATTTGATAGTCGAAGGAAGAAGCGATGCTTGTGGTGTTTGAAAGCTCTCTTGGGAAAATTTCATAAAGCCGATCTAAGTTACGCCTACATACATCCTATTAAATCAGCACACGAAGGGTAGAGTTGGTAACGTTCCACGAGAAACAATCATTTTTCTAGTAGGTGTTCAATATAATTTATTTTTAAAGTCGGCGCTAACGCCTGTTTGCCATTGATTGATCAAGCACTCTGAGCATGTATTGGACACGAGTGTGACGTCATCGTTCGGCGAGGACTCGGATCCAATCAGACGCTTCGTGTCCAAGCAATGGCGACCGCCAATGTTGCTGGACGGACTTTTGAAAAGTGCCTGTTGCGACTTTGTTGTTTCGACGGACCAATTTTTGTCAGATGTGAAGAAGACATGTGGTGGTGAATGGACAAAGGGTCTCTACTGCCCCGCTGCTGTCTAACTAAAGAACGCAATCTTGTACAGCCACACACAGGACATGAGAACGGCAGGGAGATCATTCCGTTGTCCCGCCTTCGACTCCATCTTTGTCTTCGACGGCGCTTCGGCCTCTCGTGAGCCTCCATCGTGCACGCGCAGCCAAAGCACGACGAAAGGCAACGAGCGCGTGTTGGACGCCGGGCATTCGAAGGAGACGTCCTGTCGTTTTTGATCCGGTCAGTGGCCACAGACGACAGTAGTGAGCTTGCCTTCCGTAATTGCATAACCCCTAATTATTTAAAAAAATTATTTATCGCGACGGCCATCAACAAATGCATTCCTAGAGCATGGTGCCTCCATTTTCTATAAAACGGGCATTGAATAGTGAGTGTGACAATAAATAAAGCAGAAAAAAGAAAACAAACAAACAAACATAAATCTCAACGTTCCGAAGCCGGACCGCAACAAACACCAGGGTTCGTCGGAAGAAGTACGAACTCGAAAGGATTAGACCGCCAGCTTGAAGCTTAGTCTAATGGAGACAAGACCTGTACGAAAATTGAAACCCCTTAAAAAAAAGAAAAAAAAAATATTTAGACGCCTTGTTATTACGCGAAGGTCAATATCCAAATCCCGGTGAGTGTCTCAAGAGCGGTGTTAACTCTCGTCAACCTGTCGTAAACAACGCATGCGAAGAAACAAATCCGGTTACCCCAAAGCTGGCAGGGCGTTGGCAGTTACGCTCTCGCCGGACCAATCAACCGCTTCCGTTTCATCAGCTGACCACTCTCTTTACGGGTGGTTAGGGGGGTAAGAGTGTGGTCACGTGGCGAAAGCTCGACGAACGACTGGCTCACCGACATGTGGCTGCTGTCGCCCCATCGGCTTTAGGTTGAACAGATTTTTTTTTTTTAGGGGTTTGGGGGCCGGGGTAGGGGGGGTGGGGGGGGTCAAGCTACTCATTGCCGAAGGAAGGAGGGGCTTTACGCAAACAAAGTGACCTCACGGGGCAGCGGCGCTTCTACGAGCAATCAAGGACGTTTACCTCCTAGAGGTGGTGCTTCGGACGGAGGAAAGGTTATAAAATAAGGGGTCTGGTCGAGAGGTCTACATTTGACTGCCTGGAGCTGAGCTGGTTTGACATTTGACGTCCGGAACAGGTTCAGAGACCCTCAGATCTATCTTCAGTGATTCGCGAATCCGTGAGTACACTCCAGCATTTCTTGTTTTCTTTTTTTCCCCTTTGGTTGTCTGACAATGTTGGAGATATGTTTTTACGCTCATATGCGATTGTGGACTTGCTAGATGTCGTGTTAAACGCGATATACAGGTTTGGAAATATATACATATATTGTTTCTTAGTTCGAGCGATTGATCGTTTTGCCTTTTTTTATTGAGTATTTTAAATTTATGTCATGTTTCGACAACATTGTGAGCCATGAAAGCGTGTCACATGCCCTTTTAAAATCGGTATTCTTATGTCCGATTACACGCTCAAGTGATGCTGTTTCGCCGTTCAACTAAATTGCATACCTCTGTGCTCCATTTTTTTTTTTTTAATGTCAAAGCGTAGAAAAAAATGAAATTAGTTCATTCAGGTTGCTAGGGTGGGGTCTTCAACACACACCAAGATTCATGCTCGGGATTCGGTTCGACTGCAGCTCGTATCCCACAAACGTGTCTCGCCGTTTGTAACTACCGGATTTCTCGTTTCTAAATCTTGGGAATGCCTCTCCATTCGTCATACTTGCGTAATACACATTAGAAATAACTTGCTTTTTCGCCTCGTCTCCTTTCAGCAACCATCATCTGAAATGGCCACCAAGCAAGTCGCATTCGCCATCCTGTCGGTCCTTTTCCTTGCGCCAGCAGTCATCGGTGACCCGATACGTAAGTCCTATTTTATAACTGTTCCTTCTCTTTTTTATTTTCTACGCTCGATGACGTTCAATGAAGTTCCGTTGTTCCAGCGCAAGGCGCCCTTGCGAAGGGGACAAACAGTTGCGCTCCGTGTTCCTGAACAGGCAAAGAGTTACGCGAGAGCCTGCGCGTTTCTTGAGAAAACTCTCTCCTTGATTGAACGTCCCATAAACAAAAGATATCGGTGAACTATTTTTTGGCCCTTTCGTCAATCGTGTTCAGTATCACTCCGTAACGAGCACTCTCTGGTTACTTGCAAGAATTTTTCTTTAGTAAACATTTTTTTCCGGGTGCGGTGCGAGAATGGAATGTAATACATATTACCGGATAACCTTGTCTCACTCCGTGTGACGTTGAGTTGGAGCTTATGTTTATATAAATTTTGACGCCGCTTTTTGGTTTTGTTTTTTATTTGTATTTAATATACTGAAGTTTCTGCGTGTAGTTTGTTTGTTGTTTGTAGTTTGTTATTATTATTTTGCTTTTCGCAAGTGTGATTGCAATCAACCCCCCCCCCCCCCCCCCCCCCCCCCCCCCCCCCCCCCCACCCTTATCAACTCCACAACTTGGACCCTCTCATTCCAGTGAGCACGCTCCTGGGATACCGGAGCGCTGACTCCTGGGCGAGTGCTCGTAGTGCCGACCAGGAGTCCGCACTGGCAGTCGAGTCCGGCCTTCGTACGTTGCCCGGCATGTCCACCCTGAGGCAGTTCGCCACGCCACTCATCCTTCTGGGCATCGGTTACTACATGCTCGGCTACATGCCGACGGCCTCCATGTTCCTCGGCCTTCTTGCTCTCAAGGCCCGACTGCTTCCCTACCTGGTGGCCGTAGGCCTGCGCGAGAACCTTGACCTGGACCGCGTGGGACGGCAGCTGGAGTCGGCCGAGGTTTTCGAGAGGGGCTTCGACTATCTGGACATCAAGGGCACCGACTGCCGTCGCCGAGCCGCCTGCGAGATGGGAGAGTGGCTGTCCAGGTCGCATCCCGTTGTTGCCAAGGTCGTTGACGTTTTCAGGTGAGTCCCAGTTTGCAGTTGTAGGTATTTTTTTAATCCCCCCCCCTCCCCCTCCCCTTCCCGCATCCGATACCGCAAAGTTTGTTTCGCTTGTCCGTCCGTCCGTATCTGTCCAGCCAAATATAGCGGGAAAATTGATGTCACGTGACCTATGTGAAAATTTGGAATCAACGCTAAATTTAGTGGTAAACCTCGCGTCACGAGACCTGTACACCCATTGAACTTCCCCGCCACATTTAGCGGGGATGTCACTTCGCGTGACCTATGCACCAATTCAGTTCCCCCGCTAAGCTTTTCAGCTGCGCTCGCGGTGGTGGTTAAACCGCATTCTGCATTATGGATAGGTTTCCCTGGATTTTGTAGGGTGCCTTCATGTGCGCTTTGCTTAGGGTGTTGGCATCGCGCCATTTTGTCCCGCAAGTATATTTTTATTTTTTGTTCAGAAGCGCGTAAAAGAGAGTGTCCCTGCACCCGTTCGTGGCGCTGACTGTGCTATGGTGACATTTTGCTTCCGTCGATTTCTTTGTATTTTCCCCGCGAGCGCATGCTGTCGGCATCGGGTACCACAAAGGGTTAGGGTGCCTTCATGTGCGCTTTGCTTAGGGTGGAGACATCTCGCCATTTTGTCCCACACATTTATTTTTCTTTTTTGTTCAAAAGCGCGTGAAAGAGCGTGTCCCTGCACGCGTTTGTGGCGCTGACTGTGCTATGGCGACATTTTGTTTTCGTCAATTTCTTTGTATTTTACCCGTGAGCGCGTGCTGTCGGCATCGGGTACTACAAAGGGTGGCATCACCCTTAACAGAAGGACATTGAGGCACCCTACAAAGGGTGGCATCAGCCTAAACGAAAGGATATTGAGGCACCCTAGATTTTCGTGTGCGTGACCGAAAACTCTACGCTCGCACCGCCGCACGCCACGCACGCGCACGCCTTCCTTGTACAAAAGATTCGAAGTTAATAACCAAAATAAAGCGGTGACGATCGCGCGTGCGAGATGTCATTTGTTTAGAACAGTGCTGCCGACGCCGGCACGCGCGGCGCGTGGAACACCGTTCCCTGCATTTTACTTGATGCTTGGGTAATTTAGCAATAGGTCTATTCAGAAGATTTCAAGATCAGTAGACTCTCAGGTAGCTAATAAAGGTTTCTCAAAGATTTTCCGCTGTCCGACCCGCGTCGGCCATGTCTACGCTCGCACCACCCCCTCTTTGTCGTCGTTCCAAGCCCCGCTTAAGGGGTATTCACACGAGGGAGAAATCCCGGGGATTTCTCCCCGACACGCGCGCATCACGAGATGAAAACGCGAGGCTTTTGCACATCGGAAAGCCTGTCGTTTTCGTCGCGGGATGCGCGTGCCGGGGAGAAATCCCCGGGATTTCTCCCTCGTGTGAATACCCCTTTACGTGCGTGGTTTCCTTTCCTTCCGCTCTCCCGAGGGAGTGGCGGTTCCGTCGCGCGTGTCTAGTTTCCTCCGGTTCCACGGGGTGGCTTTCTGTCGTGTGCTAAACAACCTTGCTGGTTATCCACCTCCACAACGTGGAATGACTCATGATTTTGTTTCTAAAGCTTTCATAAAATATGCCGCTAGCGTCCTTCGTTTCGTAATTTTCTGAAGTATAATACTTCAAACGGAAATTGCGCGGCAGTATGAGTGTGGGCGCTGGTTTCAATATTTCATAAGGACGAATTTGAGATTCGAGAACATTGAAGGTTTCCCCAACTAGTAAAATGCGTTTCCGACTGAATATGTGGCTTGCGACGCCCAGGGCTTTACGTCAAAGAGATGCGGAATGCCAAATGTTTGGGAGACTTTGATTTATTCGGTGCTTCGCTAATTCGTTTTTCTTTGTGTAGCGAGAACATGCTCAAGGGAAGCAAGTACTCGGACAACCTGCTGGAGGGGGCCCGCCACACCAGCTGTGACACGCAGTTCCCCAAATGTCCGTCCTCGCCACTCCGGACATTATCGCCTTTCAAATGAAGGTTGCGTCGAGCTGAGGCCTGCTTAGCTTTAGGCCTCTCTGTACATAGGATTGTTTTGCGTCTATTCCCATCCATCCCGGAGCACGAAGAGTTTATTTTGTGCTTCCCCCACTACGCAAGTCATGCGCGTCGCGGTTCGGAGCGGGTACTTCGAACGTGATACCAAACTGTAAATGCGTTTAGCATTATTAAATAAAAGATAATAAAACTAAGAAAACAACCTGTTTGCCTTACGTATTCATACTCCTAATTCTTTTTTTTTTCACTGGATAAGATATCGCCACGGACACCATTCCACGCATGTTCTTACTAACTTTCGACATATTCGCAGTACTTATGCATGTCCAGACATGTCGCTGTTAATTAAGAACTGAGCCGTGCAATATCATCCACAGCAGCGGAACATGCAGTAATTCCTAAAGCAATGGAATGGATACTTAGTCAGCCTGAACGACTGGTTTTTGGTAATAGTACTCCGTGCATTCGTAATCTGAGAGTGCGATGGATGCTACGTGCTCGTTAGACTAGCCACGTGGTTATGGATTGCCAGCTGATCGCAGCCAGACGCGTGCCAGGTGATGAAATTGGAGGCACTCAGACCATCGCATGCAGTCAAGATATGGGGCAGATTTATTGACCTCTCTTATCGCTAACATGACCGCCTAAAATACAAAAAAAAAAAAAAAAAATTCACTCTGTAGTCACTGACCCGATCAGACAGAAAGCAGATGATACACCGAATTGGAAGTGACATCTATTCTCTCTTAATTTCCTGAGAAAGCCTTCGTAGCGGTCGTCCTACTCCTATGTCACGAGAACCAGGACAGAGCGTGCTGCAGCCATAACACCACGAGACACGGGGCTCGGAGACAGCACTTCTCGGCGGTTCTAGGGTGCCTTCAGGTGCGCTTTGCTTAGGGTGGAGACATCTGGCCATTTTGTCCCACACTTTTTTTGTTTGTTCAGAAGCGCGTGAAAGAGCACGTCCCTGCACGCGCCTGTGGCGCTGACTGTGCTAGAGTCACTAAATAAGTTGCGTTTAGAGTATCGGCACTCCGTTCGCCGGCATTGTCTTGGGCGCCGCCATTTTGGCTCGTATGCAGAGCAGACGCAACTGCCGATCGTCATGATTCTAAAGGGCGACTTCCTCAGCGTTAGATTCGGTGTTAGAAAGGTAATTTAATATTGATTTGCTCTGTCGCAAACTGTTTTAAACATTTGTGGAGGGCGGAAAAGCGTTTCCTGTGATTTCAGATAAAGCTTCAGATAACTGGCAACCATGATTTTAAGACACAATATGGCCAAGTGTCGTTATTTTGAAGCGTACCTTATTTAGTGGCACTAGACTGTACTATGGCGACATTTTGTTTTCGTTGATTTCTTCGTATTTTCCCCGTGAACGCGTGCTGTCGGCATTGGGTACTACAAAGGGTGGCATTATCCTAAACAGAACGACCTTGAGGCACCCTAGGCGCTTCCATTGACCGATGTCCCGGACGGTTTCATTTCAGTTCAGTTTTTGATTACTATCCCGGAACTTTGTAGTTTATGAGAACGAAGAAATACGTACAGGCCAGGACCATGGGAATCGGCACGGGGATGCCTGAAGGCTAGGCGCGGAAATACCCGAAACTTGTAGGTAAAAACAGTTTTTATTGATTGTAGGAGTAAATAAGTGCCGATACACTCAAAAAAAAAATGCGCCGTTTTTTAATTATTTACGCAGGTCGAAAGACGCTTGCTGTCTATACTTTGTTTCACCTTATGTTGTACTGCAGCGAAGGCTAGAAGCGCGAGCTCATAGCCTTGGTTTAGTCACGAGAGCTTGTGCCGCCGCGATGTGCCCCAGAGCATGGAGCTCGCGCTTGTAGCCTTTCCTGCGGTACACCATAAGGTCAAACAGAGTATAGGGGGGAGTATTCACTGGCGGTCACAGCTGTGTGCGCGAATGCTGAGCGCGTGCTGATGGCGAGCTTCCACTGTTCTTTTGCAACGTGCATCCCGCACCATCAAGAGTGCCGGTCTTAGCAGCCTATTGATGTGAGCTCGTTCTGAGCATGCGCTCTAAGCAGCACCCACAAATATGGCGTCCAGTGAAAACTCCCTATAGTTATGGTACAGTGTACTAGAATACTTGGGTAGTGTTGGGACCGAAGGGGCTCGCCTGAAGCGCGTGGTATTGATCGCGACAGGTGTCGCGTCCGGCGCCTTATCCGGAAAGTGTGCGCATGCGCGGCTGCACGCGCGAAAATATGAATCTTTGGTGCCGCTTTGGTGGAGTGCACATAAAATTTCTGATACAACTACGACCTGCGAGCGGTCTTACCGCGGCATCAATTACGCTGAGGCACGACCGTTAGCAACATGATGCTTCAATGTATTGGACGGTACAAGCTACATTACCCTTCCTTTACATAAAAACAATTGCGACTTTAAAGAAGCGGTTTCGGTTTGTCGGATGGTGAGCATTTTAAATGAAATGCCCATTTCCTTGGTCGCAAATGCCGAACATTAGATATTTAAAAGGGATATCTAAAACTCGGAAGCAGTTTTTTTTTCCTATCTTATTTTATAACGGAACGAAACGGCACATACTAAAGTTCGAGATTGTTTTAGTATGTTTTTAATACCCCAGGTTAACTTCTCTGTCTTCTTCTCTGCCCGTCTTCTTTTTCTTGACCTTAATCAGCTCGCTTCACTTGTCACTCATTCTTGTGTCCATTTATGCGACGAACCAGCCAAGCGACGGTCGCAAAGGGGTGAGAATCTTCTATTTCTTCGTGGCTGCCACGACCATCCGAGAATCACCCGACGTTCACTTGTAAGGAATGGCTTATAAGCCGTGACAATTTTTATCACGCGTTTTAACATTTAACTTAAGTCCAAAAACTGTGACAATGTGGGCTGAACAAGTAATGCTTTATAAGATTCAAAGAAAACAAGACACTATTTCACATCATTTTGAGCAGAAAACATGAGCACACGTAGATCAGGCAAGGAAAAAGTTGTAATAGTTTACAGCACGGCATTGAAATAATGTCTACAATGTGCAGCGCATACATGGTTACAATATGCAGCGGATTATCCTCTTGAGGGAAAACCATCTGAAACCCACACGCTCATAACAATACATTTAACCGACAGCTGCTTTCTGACAAGCAGGTAAGTCTCGCCTGAGCTGGGAGCATTCAAAGGGAAAGACGAGACCCATGGTTCCACAGGGGGCGTATCTGGTTCACTCAGACATTCAGGGTGTTTTTGTTTTATTCTTTACAGAACTTTACATATTTTACAAAAAAAAAAAAGGATGTGGCAGATATGTGGATGCCGTCTTTCGTTATATCTGCTCGGTGGACAATGAACGGGTGAATAACCGTTGCAATGTTTAATAATGAACCAAGATCTGTTAGTTAACTTGTTTATTAACGGCTTAATTGGCCATGATGCAATTGCAGTTTTAAAAGGAGTCATTATTAAAGGCAAACACAATTTCGACAATTCGTGAAAAGGCAACGAGGTTCGCAAAATTAATCGTAAAAGTTTGCCTTTCTTCGCTTGATTCAGAAACCGCGTTATGAAAATAATACGTAGAATAGTAACTTAGTCGTCTTGATGTGTGGCGCCGGCGAGTCCACCGAAGAAACGCTGTCAAGTTAGTGACGAGGGGACAGAAACAACTGCGTCATTCTTCTACGCATCAATATCAGCACAACCTCATTCGCGCATTCAGCGCGCAGTTTTTTTAATTAAGTGAAGAAAGGCAAAATTTTAGCGATGAATATCTCAGGACAGAACGAGCGGGTTGGTAGAGATAATTAAGCTTGAGGAAGAAACGAAAATTGACGGACAAACACAGCAAAAACGAACGCCTTGTTACGTTCGCTCAAAGCTCGTTGTTTGTTCGCGAACTTTTTAAATTAGGTTGGCCTTTAATGATGGCTCCCTTTAAAGCTGCAATCGCAACATGGCCCATCAAACATTTCATTAACCCTTTGCCTAACGCAAAAATTAAAAAAAAAAAGATTTGAAAATACCGATTTTTTTTTACGTGCCCTATACTCTGTTTCACCTTGTGTTGTACCGCAAGAAAGGCAAGCGCGAGCTCCTTGCTCTAGGGCACATCTCGGCGGCACGAGCTCCCGTGCACCAAGGGCAGCTGCCAACGCTATGAGCTCGAGCTCCTAGCTTTCGATACATGCACCGCTCAAAGATAAAAAAGAAAAAAAAGAAAAAAAGAAAAAAAGGCGGGCTGCGCGAGCCGGATAACTCGACTACAGCGCCTCCACGAACTGTCAATACACGCGCCTTCACGAGCTCCCGTTGCCGAGCCGCTCCGGTCCCAACACTACCCAAGTATTCTAGTACACTGTAGTTATAGTCTTCTAGTACACCATACTATAGTCAGTGCAATCCGACTGTGACGACGTTCCATGGAGAAAGAGCAGGGCGTTCACTTCACGGGCCTTGCGAATATTCTAAGTAGGCTGGGCTGCGGAGATCGGACGCCGGACTGTGTGAACTGCGCAAAAAGTGACCTCTTGCCTCGTCTAGATACGAACATTGCTTGCGTGCAAGAACGTATCCCGGCGTGTGGTGGGAAGCCAGTACATATGCGGAGGCTCGCGAGTGCTTGCCACGCCACAGAACGTGAAGCCGCGTTCACGCTCTTAACACATAAACGCAAAGGACAGCCTGAGGACGCCAACCAGGACGTGTGTCTTTCTTGTGGGACGGTTCTTCCGCCACATGAAGCGCATGAAGCAAACCTGCTTGCAACACGCTTGGGACCTGTGCATAGACAATTCTGTCGTTATGACACCAGAGAGCGCCGTGTCTTTTGTAGGACGTACGAGCTAGTGTGGCTTTCAAAAGAGCCCCGTAAACGTTCGATGTTTTCACATGACGTCAACCCGTCATTCTGTTGTGTTAGCGTGATGAACCTTATGAGGAGAGCAAGTCGGCTGCTTCTTGCGCAGGAGTGGCAGTGACGTCAGAACGACACCAAGCCCTCATTGGCTGTTTGAAAAAGTAAATAATAGTGGGTAGACCTCAATGTAGGTGCCTTGAAATTTACTCACTCTTTTTTTTTTTTTTTTCAATCAGCCAATAAGGGCTCGGCGTCGTTTTGACGTGACTGCCACTCCTGCCCAAGAAGCAGCCGACTTGCTCTGCGCATTCGATCCTTGGCACTATTCGGAGAGAAACTCAGGGAGAGGAGGA